ATGCAAATGTACTGACAATCATGAAATTTTGTTTAACAAATTATTTGTTAGTGGTATTACAGTCAATGCATTTTTATGGTTTCAATATTATTCAAGTGATAGTAAGCACTGTGTTCCTTTGGAAAATAATAATATTTCATTAAAGACAATATTTGTGAAGTACCCCATCTTTCTGGAAAATAAATCGTCAAAATGGCCGCCTATGACAGTTTGGGTGAAGATATCTCTTACAAAACTTTCAATTGTTGCATAAAAACAAAAGTGAAAGTGGTGGTATGTGTTTCCTGCGGAAAAGTCTTCCATAGGAGTTGTCTGGAACGTGTCAAAAATTGCAAAGTTGTAGATAAAACACGCGTTATTTGCTGCCAAGATCTTGAAGATTTGTTCAAAAGTAAGTCTTTGGATCTGACAAATGAAATTATTACCGATGAAATCATGAAATATTTGAAAAATGAAATAGTTCTCCTAAAATCAATCATAAAAGAGAAGGATGAAAAATATGCAGTTGTGTTGATAAACAAATGTCTCTTGAGCGAAAAAAATAGTATAAAACCCATCTTTACAAAACACCACAAGGAATGTTCTCAAAAACAAAGAGATACATCTACAAAAAATGTTAATGAGGATAAAAACATTCTAGTTGGAAAACCCCAAATTGGTATCAGCAGCGAGAATAAAAAGGATATTACTTGGAGCCCAGCAACTTATCACTAAACTGGAAAGCCCACTGCCGACAATTGATTTTCTGATTGATTCGACCGTTACTTGATCCATAGTAATTTGTGGATAACAAATCGAGAGGTGTAGTTTATGAAAAGTCGACAATTGATTTTAACATAACTTATTGAAGTTTCTCTTCATCAATTCACTAACAGTTTTAAGAGTCAGTTGCTCAATATACAGGGTGTTTCATCTCAGACGAGCCACCCCGTAAAATTTCCCGAAACACGTCGAATGATTTTGTTTGGAGGACATCTTTTGACGTATATTTTAGGCTTGAACGAGCAACCCCTAATAGGGGGCTCTTCAACCCCTCAAACTTGAATAGGGGAGAGGGGTTGAGTGATACTTTATCTGATAGGTCTTGGAAGCCTCTTCACAACGGTGTATGAAAAACGTAAATTTGATGAACCGTTTTTCCCAAAAATCAATTTTGCAGCTCGAATGAGCCACCTTGAATAATTTGGTTATTTTTACATGTACAAGCCCATTTTTATTAAGCCCTTTTTACAATCTTAAAAAATAAAATTGTCCTCCATTGACTCCCATACAATAATACAATCTTGAATGAAAACCGTCTCTGACATGATTCAGCATAATTGGAGTTATTTGACGACACTCATTCACAATTCTGTGGCGTAGTTCGTCCAAATTTTCAGTGTGAGTCACAAAAATTTTGGACTTGATGTCCCCACAAGAAGTCCAGAGGGTTCAGGTCATGAGATCGGGCAGGCCACTCCATAGGACCTCTTCTTCCAATCCAACGACCGGGGTATTGCAAATTGAGGTATCGGCGAACTGGTGCAGCGTAGTGCGAAGGAGCTACGTCTTGTTGTCAATGCAATTGTTGTTCAATTGGTAGAGGATCGTTTTGTAATTGTTCAGTTATTAACGGATCAATCGCATTTTCCAGCATTTCAAGATAACGTTCGCCAGTTAAATTATCAGAAATAAACAGAGGTCCAATTAGGTGGTCTCCCAAAATTCCTACCGAAACGTTTAGCATTTCTGGATATTGAGTGTGAGCTTCTCGAAATACATGAGGATTTGTATTGTATTGCTCCAAGTTCTACAGTTATGCCGGTTAACCTCTCCATTAAGTAAAAAAGTGCATTCGTCAGAAAAGCAAACGTTGTACAAGAAATTTTGGTTATTGTTGATACTCTCGGCCATAATTTCGTAAAACTCTTGCCTTCGATCCCAATCATCATCATTTAATTCATGAATTAATTTAATTTTGTACGGATGGATCTTTTGTCTATGTAAAATTCTAATCATGTAAGGTCTTAACCCTAACATTTACATTGTTGTTCGCGAGTACTTCTCACGTGATTTGGTTGACTTGGCTTCGTTTTAGCGCTTTTCAAGGCTATGTGCCAGATCTTTGGTAGATATGTTCTTTCTTCCTTTCTGTTTAAGTTCTCTTGTTGTTTGTGTATTTCTATGGCTTCTAAATACATTGCTGTTGAATAATGATTTGGCGTTGATAGACTATCGGTATTTTCAAATAGAATCTTGTGTTCCGTGTCAGAGATTGTAACCAAAGAAGACCACGGCAAAACCCGGAAACTATTTAAAACATTGACGCCAGCCGTGAAGGTCTAAATTCCTATATGTGTAATTATGTGTTCAAAAACAAATCAACTTTCACAACTAATCTGAAATTTCATCAACATGATACTAGAATAAAAAAAAACATTTTAATTTACCCTTAGTTAGTTTTGAAATAACGTTATGAGGACCATAATATATTAGTCCAAAGATATATAACCACCTTCCAGATCATTTGAAGGCCTTAAATAGTTTTTCTGTATTCAAAAAATCATCAAGGAATTATTTATTGGAAAAATGTTTTTATACTTTACAGGAATTTTTTGAATAATTCATATCCATTTTAGTTTTAGATTATGAGCTTGTCTTCCCTTTTTTATTTTTTTTAANCATCAAGGACCTGCAGATTATGTTCACTCCTATTTCCTTGATGAATAATGAAAATAAGAGTGGTGCTGGGTTGCTTTTCTGAGGTTATCTGCTTGAGGTCATAAAAGCCTTTGATATAAATGGGGTACCGGTTAATCGAACTTGATGATATCTAATTTATACAGAAAAAAAAATCTGTTTAAAATATGTTTTTCCGTTAACCAGAAGAACAGAATGATCCAATCTGTTGAAGGCGTTTGAAAAATCTGGGTACATTGTATCAACTTTTATTTTATTTCTCACTGCCTCACTCACCAAGAACACTGCTAGATTTAAAATAGTGGAGCATTTGTTTATGAAGCCGTGTTGGTTTTCATTTATAATATTTCTCTTAGAAAATAATCTGTTAGACACACATATCATAGGCATTTGCACAGATAAAAGAGAGAGTTATTGGTTTGTAGTTTGCCAAGTTGTTTGTTGCACCTCAATTGAGTATAAGAAATACAAGAGAGATTTTCCAGAGATTTGAAAGTTTCCACTGTTTAATGACAAAGTGATTCCCCCGACAATTAAACTACATTGAAACACTACAATATGTGCAGGGGAGAATTTCAAACATAATTTATAATAGTACCAAAATGGATAATATATTGTCATGATAGGGTACATATGTTCTTAATTTTATTAATTTATTCAACAGATAAACCATCGCCCTCTAGTGCTCCTGCCGCTTCTCCTGCTGCTCCAACAAGCGTGCCTACAAATCTGCCTTACCCTGTTTACACTCAGGGAATGCCAGTACCCTATGGAGCTTCTGCCAATACTCCGTATCCAACATACGTACCACCTCCGATGCCACAGGGATACAATCCATATGGTACTATTCCTTATCCTTGTAAGTTATTTGTATAAAATTTTTATATTCTGCTAGAAGTAAACGTTTTTCAATCTAATTGATAAGTGTGTGTTTCAAAATGTGTTCAAGTATGAGTTTTGTTCAGAATAATGGTTGGTGTTTGTGGAATATAAATCTCAAGACAATGAAATCTACATTATTAGGGTTGACTTTTTAGTTCAAACCAGTTCTTGAACATATGGTGTCAGGTATGGGATGTTTTTGACATGGTGTCATCTAAGACTGCAATTATTACTTTTTTTAAAGTTATTTCTACAGGATCCTTTACCAAATATGTAATGAGATGTTTGGGATGAGAAATTATTATATGTAGGAGCAATTCTTTTGACAGAGAATTGAAGAGAGTTTATCTTTTCCCTTATTTGTTAAAAAATTTGATATTCTCAATTGTTTTTCTGCTAGTCTATATTGAACCTTGACGTGGTCAAATCTATTTTTTTTTCAATATTGAATGTGATGGTTTGACCCAAAATTTGGATTAGATTGTACTTCAAACCATTTATTTTTATGGTGGTAATTGTTCTATTTCACTCATTAATATCGTGTCATCTGAAAAAGTCGAGGCTAAAATAGAAGTTGTGATAGCAAGTTTCTTGGATTTCTAATCGTTGAACCACAAGGACCCCAAGGAACTTTCCAGGGTCAACAGCAAGCTATCCAAACACCCTTTCCGCAGCAGCCTGGATATGGGCAACAACCTGGGTATGGCCAACAGCCAGGATACGGCCAACAACCTGGAGGATATCCAAACTGTCCAACGGGAGCTTACCCACCTGGTACTTACCCGTCCAATACTTGGCGCTAAGTATCTGATTATTACCATAAGCAAAAATATGATATCCTCCTCATTTTGGTGACTGTATAGTGGCTTCAGCTTATAGGGTGTCTCTATCTGAATATTTCTAACACTTCCTGGTTTGATTTGGTTCTGTTTGAAAAAGCTTTGTTTTTTTCAGTCTGGATCACAATTGAAGAGTTTTTCGATTTTGCGAAGGTTAATTTTTTATTGTTTGGAGATTAAGTAATCGAGTAATTTACACAGACAAGCAAATGAGAGTATATATAGGTTGTGTTTTAAACTGGTCATCAGATCTTATGTATAGAGTTGAATGTATCCTTTGGATCATTTTGTTGTGGTTTACAATTTGATGAATGACAGTGTTTTTAAAAGTTCCTCATCTGACCAAGAAAAAACCTTTTTTCACTTCATCAACATATTTACCATTAAGACTGATGTACTTTTTATAACATTGCTTTGATGCAGCAAAAAAGTCATTGAAAGAATCAATGACTTTTTTGCTCACAATTCTTCTACTCCCGAGAAATTTGCTAAGGTTAGGTTAGATGATTCTTGCTGGGGGCTAAATCTGGTTAATATGGTGTACGGGGAAATAGTAAGAACTGAATTTAATTGATTTCACCTATACCAAATCTTTTTTTCTTGGCATATGAGGTTGTTTTTTTTAGGTCATTCTGACATAGGCATCTTGGAGTGTGTGATCAATCGGCAAAATCAAAGTTGAACCATACTCTTCACATTTCGAGTTGCGTGATACTATGCGTTATTGCACTCCCTAGATAACACCTGTGGATATCCAATTAATGGCCAAGTCAGGTCGAAATATCCTTAGCCATGATTGGACAACTACAGGATATCCTTTGGACTTTTGTTGGCTATCCATCAGATGTCTGTGTATTATCTGGATCTGTAGTTTCTATTTTCAAGTAGTTGATTTCTGTTGAAATTTCAGAATGCTCACTGCTGCTAATTATTATAAATATCCCTCTGCAAAGTTTACATTTTTCATGAAAAGTTTTTCCAAACTGGCAGATGTGATTGTTGAGAGATAAAACATTGGTTTGAAGTGTCAAAATCGACCAGCAGATGAATTTTCAAAAGTATTCGTAATATGATGCAGGTCGAATCTAAAAATGTTTTATTTGTTTTAAGATAGACTTGAGTTACGACTTGAAGAAAGGAGTTGAGCCAATAATCATATTTACCCTGATTTAATATCATATTATAAATAATAACTGTTACAGCCATTTTAAATATTTTTGTATTGTCTGTTTTGAGTGCTATATTTAGTGCCTGTTATTAAGCATATTAATTGAAAACATATAATTATTACAATTAGATTATTTAATACATGATCATTATCAATTCACTCCACTTTTAATTTGTTAATATGTTATAATGTAAACTTGTTACAAATTTTTACTGTTCATTTTATTTTATAGAAAACTTTGTACCTTGCGTCTATTTGTTTTTCTGACTTGTCATAAATGTATTTTATACATAACATGATCAAATAAATATATCTATCTATCTTAACAGGCCGCTGTCATTTGAATCATCATAAATATGCAGAGACTTGGACTATCGGAAGACAGTTTGTGTCGCCTCTGTTTGGAAAATGATGAAACAGCAGAGCACACACATTATGCCCGGCCCGTTAAGGACCGAATCAGGTTTTTAAAGTTCGGCAGAGCCGTACTCTTACCATCTGACCTGAAAGACCACTCACCATACAAGCTAATCAGCTTCGTTAAGAAGCTGGGTTTATTTGGTCGAGTGTAAATACGTGTGGGACACAATAAAACTTTACGGGTTGCGGTGGAGGGTCGAATAGACCCACCCACTTTGGACCTAACCTAACATAACCTCAGTCTCCTAATGATGATGCTAACTTGGTTGGCGAAACACGCGTCAAGGAAGCAATTTTGTTCTGGTGAGGAAAACTGTTTTCAATAGATTCATTTCACGCCAGAGGTCCCAAATTCTACTTATCAATTGAAATGCTTCATTGGATATCTACCTCATGCAGTTATACTACCACTGATTATTGTGTAGACAAGAGTGTAATACTTGTCATCCAAATGACTTTTGGGAACACTCGATTTTCACAATGGTGAAAGCATGATACAGTTGTTAATTTGAGCCTAACATTATTTTGTGGCTTAAATTGAACTGTTTTTGGGGGATTACTGAATTCAAAAAGGATCAATTCATTCACAGTGTATCATTAGCAATTACAATAATTGTATCTTCTGCATAAACGAAGATCAACCAATTTTTTCATTTTAGCAAGTATTGGCGGCTAATTCCGTAATATTTTTTGATCATATATAATTCTAAAGAATACTTACATTAGATGTTGTGGAATAAATTTGTATACTTCGTCAAACATTATTGACCAGTGTGGTTTATGCTTCTCTTCACCAGCTTTGAATGCCTTCATCACATCCTTTCTTGCCTTTTCCAGCCATTCTTTTTCTTTTTCTTCACTCCATATTCCTTTACTTTCCATGTAATACCTCAGTTTGTATGTTGGATAATCATTTTCACTCCATTGTTTGACTTCGTCTGGGGATCTGTAAGCTGAGCTGTCGTCGGAAGTAGAATGGTCGCTTACTCTGAAAAATTTCAAACCATTTTTAATCCAGTTGGCAAAGTAAATATTTTGATAATATCACGGTATGAAATATGCACATTTTTTCAGTTTATGGTGGTCGGGCCCTATTGAAGGAAAAAATAAATTGGTCCTTCGAGCCGGATAAAACTCAAATCACCTGTGTATATTACCTGTAAGTCATTGCTTCTATGAGAACCGGCTTGCTTTCCTTCAACGCGTACTCCTTGGCCAACTTGGTGGCGTTATAAACGGCAAAGACATCATTTCCGTCTACTCGAAGTGTATGTATACCGTAACCAGGTCCTCTGGCTGCGATACCATCACCGCGATACTGCTCCTGGACGGGTGTCGAGATGGCGTATCCGTTATTCCTACAGAAAAATAAAACGGGGCACTCCAGCGTGGCGGCGAAATTGAAGGCGGCATGTGCGTCTCCCTCTGAGGCGGCCCCGTCTCCGAAGTAGCAGATCACCACACGGTTCTTGCCTTTTAGTGCGAAAGCCGAGCCCACCTGAATTTAACAAAATGGGATGTTTTATCGTAGTTGGATAGGGTATTTCATTAAGTGGTTCCTATCTTCACATTTAAATAAAACAAAGTGTGTATGATCTATTGATGCCATTATGTGTGGAATATAATATCGTTCAAATGTCCGCCACGGCTTCTCTATACCAAACCGAAGGCAACTAATGAACATATCAATCAAATAATCTATTGGAATATTCAACGAAATGAAATCTAACCTGAAACTTAACCGACAACGGATGTAATATCTGGTCATATGTTGAAGCGGGTTTATGCACCACTCTTCCTAAGACTAAGAACCAAGTGCTCGAACATAAAAAATGAACTAGAGCGATTATGGAAACTTGACTGAGACTAAGTAAGAACTCTGCCTAGAAAGTTGGCCAACGTTTAACCAATAACTAAAAGCTTAGGTTAAAACAAAAATGAGCATGCGCAAAATTTAAATATTTACAGCTTTCATATGGAATTATTTTCAGAAGTGTAGTGAAATATCAAATGAACTATAATTGTGGTTAATCATGTTAACATGTGCATATACGGAATACGTTATTAGGTTTAGTTCTTGGGTAATGTATTTGCCCTGAAATGAATCTAACATGAAAACACATTTTCCAAACAACTAGTGCCCTCTGGTGTGTAAAAAACGTGTTATTGTTTCAACTACTGGGTTGTGAATCACGGACTGAATTAAAGAAGCTATTCGATGGTAGTGGTTTTAGCAGGAAGGCGCGCTCTAATCTCGATCAGACTAAAGAATAACTTTGATTCAATGGAGTCGATTTCACAACCCAGTAGTTTACAACACTCAGTAGATAGAAGCATCTGTAATTTTCTCTTACCGCTTGTGGCATCTGCGTACTCAATGGACTGGATATCGTAACAAAATTTAGTTCTCTACTTCCATAATGTATCGGCATTTGTTTCCCGTGACCGGGATCATCTTTGTTGCCATAGCACTGGTCCACGAACTGCTGAAGAGAGTACCCTCGCCACATTAGGACTCCTGCTTCTCGATATTGGCCGTACACCAAGTCATTCATTGACAAGGCTGCAGCGCTGCCTATGTGGGTAGCTTCTTCTCCATAGTTAGTCATGTAAAAAGAGATTCTACCTGTAAAAGGTTACAGAACTGGTGAGATTTCGGTGGAATAAGTTGTTGATGAATTGAAGAAAATGAAATCCGGGCTAGTAGGATATGCTCGAATGGAACCTGAGGTGCAAAACGTTTCGTCTGATACTGCGGCAGACATCATCTGTCCATTAACTGCAAGGACGAAAGATATATCTCGAAGTATCACCAACGAGTAACTGACGAGCTACATGTTCACTCGTATTTATGGTTTCAGAAAGTGGTGGGGCGATTGCGAAGTGTCCATGCAATTGCTCACTCCTGATTGGTTCCGCACTTTTGCTGAGTCGTTCTGATTGGTTCGCACTGTTACTAGATTGTTCTACGTTTTTGACAGGTATGATGTCTGCCGTAGTAGCAGACCTACCAGCCTGGATTTTGTTGTCTTTGATTGCGACTCCGGTCTTGAAGCCTACGTTCTTATATTGTTGATTAATTCCTTCGTTGTAACTCGTTCCATTATTAAGAATAAAAAAATCGATTTGAATATGAAAATGAGGACAACAAACTATCTAAGTAATCCTCATGAACACAATTTCAGAATTTATAACTTAGGAATCGTACCTTTATCAGAATTCATTTATAAGTAGGCTTGATTACAATTTCGGCTTAAAGTGAATTGGTTGCTTAGAAAAAAGTATTTTCACAAAATAATATAAATATTTCTGATAAAAATATTTGGGTGCATCTCATCGCAGGAAAATATATGAATGAAAAGTTACAATACTGAGTAGGTATCTCAGACAATTGTGCCCTTAAAGGTATACAAAATTACAGAACTTGCATATGGCACAATTTTGTTAATTCTTGCTATCTTTTTTTTGATATCTAGTTTCCTTTAGGATGAACTATCAAAGCGGTCAAATATAATTCTTGTTCATGGTCAGCCATAACAATTCGTTTGGAGTAAAATTCCATAAAATTTAGAAAAATAAATTAGGCTTCTGAAGAAATCAAAATGCGGGTTTGGTTTCGATTTCTGAAGAGTTGTCGTTCGTAAGATTATGTTTTCAATAATGTAATGGAATAAAATACTGGAAATGTTACTAAGAGCATTCACATCTTTTTTTTTTATTCAACTTGGCATTATGCCACTTCCAAAGTTGAATATCTATAAAGTTTTACTATAGATTCATGAAAACCTTAATAAATTTGACATTGTGATGATCATATGCATATGGATCGAGGTTCGGATGTTTATTGAACCTGGCCAGACATAAACTAACAATAAGTAAGATAAATTCACAAAACTTACATTTGCATAACAATCTTCACTCGTATCTGAAATCACTGACTCTTACAAAATTTAAATCTACTATCAAAAAACATTGAGGAATATATCTACTCCACCAGAACAAAAATGCTGTCTCTCGTCGCGAGTTTCGCTAACCAAGTTAATGTCCCCCCTTTTATTTTTTGAACGGTTCAACTCAAAAAATTGAAATTTGGGATAATGAAATTAATGCATGAATACTTTATTTTGAAGTGAAATTGACAGATGAAACTTTCAAGATGGCGAC